AATCCTGATGTCTATTCACTGCTAGCTGTTTCAAAGAGGGTAAAGAATGATTAACTAAAGGTTATTGGTTCCTGATTAAGCAAATCATTTAACAAAACATTATTTGGCCAAATAATGTTTTATTCACCTCATGGATTTGCATTGTGAATTCGTCTGAAAGCATTCCAATTTTACTAAATTAGTGAAAAGCTAATTTGATCATATCCGAAATTCTTCCAGATAAGCTTGGGTTTAAAACACAAAATCCATCTTAAACTGTAATATGGTTTTCAACCATGCTTCCCTTGCTCTTTGTACATAGTAGTTTAGTTTAGTCTAGTTTTACTAGTCTTAGTTGAGAGTGTTAAACTGAAATATATTTGACTTGGAGCTGAATGATTTTTGTTAATAAACTCTTATATTATGAACAGAAGTTGTGGTGAATTTATTCCATGTGTGTGCAGAAATAACTGTTTGACCATGATTAGTGCTCGAATCACTCTTTCATTTATTGTTCTAATACACAGCGATTAGGGCTTTTATTCATAAACGGTATATAACAGCCAAAATATTATCTGATTAAATAAGATATTTTACCACCCCATACGGCAATAAACATCTTAAAGTATCAGAAATATAAATTCCCAGCTGGCTGGGAATTCAAAAGAACATAAAATCAAAACATTTAATTGGCATCCCTGGTTGCTGGGCCCATTAAAATCACAACACATTCCTCCACAACCTGTACAAATCTAGGGCCTAATAACATGTTTGCCAATGCTGTACATCCTGGTCGGAGGCTGGAAAAACTCTAACCCTCAGCAACAGTTACAAAGCGTAACCAGGAGGACACGCACAGGAGCAGACAGGATCAGGTGCAGACGGGCAGGCTCAGTGGCAGAGGGTAGCAGAGACAGGACGTGGAACCAGAACTTGAGCAGGACCTTTAAACTGGTCTCCTCCTTGGAGCCAGGCTTACATGGATAAAAACTGAACCTCCCCGCATATAGAGCCAAAAACCCAGAGGACTCAGCAGGGGAGGAACAGTGGATGAGAAGGAGACGAGACAGACACAAAACCCTCTTTCCACTGGCCACCAGGATCCTGGACATGAACCTTGGAATAAACAGAACTCAACAGAAAATAACATCTAATGATCTGGCCATGATAGCTGGAACTGAGCCCAGTATAAGGGAAACTGGCAGGTGGAGGAGATGAATGATGATTAGGAGCTGCAAAGAGTTAAGCAGGTGAAGTGCATTAATAAGGAAATTGTTAAATAGTGATAATGGTAAACATGAAATGCCTCAGAGGCAGTTTATTTCCCCAGTTTTTTGGCTGAACTTAGCAAAGACCTCACAGCTATGTTTTACTGTCACCCCAGGAAAAGAGAAGGATTCAATATCTTAACGACTCTCTGAGTCAGCAAACAGCCCACATATCCGGAGTCCCGAAGCTGTAATTATCACTGGTTTTCATAGGAAGGCAATGAAAAAATGTAAACTACAGTGTAAGTATTTAGTGGTTTCCCAGCTGAAAATTATGAGAACATGTTCCCAGCTACAGGAGAGTGCTAGATATCTAAACCCTAATTTTATTGCAGTATAACATTTTTATCTCACTCTCTGGGCCGGATTTATCAAGATCCAATTTTGCGTGCAGTAATTTGCGCTCGCAAACTGGAATTTTGCGCGAGGGGCTGAACCATGGTTTGCGGGTGATTTAACAAGAGCGATTGCGTAACTGGTGGCAGGTGCAAAACTGTTGGAGACGCCCTATTTAAATGATGGTTTTGCGCGTTTTGTGGTTTGCGGCAAAGTAGTTTGTAGTTTGTGCAAACTAGTGCATTAAGACATTTTAATCTTACAGTGACACCCCCACCCCCTCCAAAAAAAGAAATATATATATATAAACTTTGGCAACCTTTATTCCCTAAGGTGGTATGTGGCTGAATTTCTACTTCACCGCAGTAAAAAACAAAACAAAAAAACAAACAAAAAAAACAGGTGTTTTGTATCGGCCTATAGAAAAATGCACATAACAAATGGCTCACAAGAAGTGACTGTGGATAAGATGACTGCATTGGCATGTTGCTCCACAGGCGCAGGGTGTCGGGGTTCTCTGGTAGGGCGTCAGGGCTACATGGCATTTAGAACGTCGGACAGCACTTCTGAAAAACGAGATTGGGAGATCCCAGATGCAAAAAAGTGCAATGTTGCAAGGAGTTTTGTAATATCTGGTATTGCGTGGGTCCTCCTTGTGGCTGGCTCCAAATCCATTCGGAGTTCCCCCAACAGCTCCAAAATGGCAATGCTGGATAAACGATATGTTTTGATGATCGTTTCCTCCTTCATTCCAAAAATATTCACACGGAGTGAAAAAATGCGTTCTCTGCGTCTCCTTGCTTCATTTCGATACCTCCTTCTTGCAACAATAACCGCTGCCATGTGTGCGCAATTACGCATACAGACCATTTGCACCTTCTTTTGAAACGTGTTAAATATAGAGTCAGATACCGTTAGCAGAATTGCTTTCAGGTTTGATAAATCACTTTGCGAGTGCTAAATTAATATATTTACATGTTCTCCTCCCACAAGACGCACTTTTGCGTGTAAACGCCCAATATTGAATATTCATTGCAGAAAAAGTACTAAATGGATAAGAGGCGCTATTTAGCACGTGTTAAAGACCAAATCCTTTTAGCACGCTGTTGATAGATCAGTTTGTACATTTTTTAGCGTGCGCAGTGAAATAGCTCACGTTTTTATACACGCAAACCTTTGATAGATCTGGCCCTCTGTTGTTGTGGGGTTAGTGGTGAACATCATGCTGAAAAGGTGCACTATAAAGGTTTTACCCCAGGAGAACCCACAAGCAATTCACCAATCTTTTTTTTTTTATCTTTCTTACTTTCTCTTGACTGTTCTGGCAAAAGATTTAAATACATTTATATTCAATGAACTAGATTACTCTTGCAGTTAATTACTTTCAATAAATCAGTTAACCAAGGCAAACTCGTTAAATAGATTGATTACAGACTAAAAAGTGCAGGCCTTTATTTATGTTAATTTTGATCATTTGATTGATCCTGGAAATATGGTCCTGATAGCCATTACATTGGGTGCCCGGTATTAGGGTTTGGAGAAGTTTGTCCAGAAAAATGGAAAATGTTTTGATTAAGGAAGATTTGCATTGATGGCAATGCAAACAGACAGGATCAAAATAACAGAATGACAACAATAGTTAATAAACATTTGCAATGTTAATGGTATGCAGACTACTACCTCTGAACATTGGATTACTCCACTCATTTTTCCAACTGCAGTGAACAAAATCGTACTAGTTCAGTCAATAAGTGGCTCTAAATTAGACATTTCTGCAATTGTTTCTTGTGACATTTTCTTCAGTTCGTTACTGTGATGAGTTGCTTAGGGTGACCAAACGTCCGTATTTCCCGGGACATATCCGTATTTCACGTCCTGTCCCGGGCGTCCCGGGTTTTTTTTTTAGAAAGTGAGGAAATGTCCTGATTTCACTGCGCACGACGCTCCGTGTGACGTAATCCCTGAGCCGCGTCAGTGCGGGCAGCCCTGTTCTTAATCAGAGGCTCTGTTCAAAATCCTAGGCTGCATCCTCCAAGGACGCGGTCTACCTAGACTGGATCCTTCGAAGTCCTTGAAAATAAGAAGGCCGGAAGAGTTCTGTCTGTAAATTCGAACAGGTCCTCCCTTCGGCGGGTTTTACTGCCGTATGCTCTGTTGCTTAGCAACAGTGAAAGTTGACACACAAAGCAGGAAAAGAATGAATACAGAGGTTTTCAAAACTGTTTGTTTATTTATTTATTTTTTAAAAAGTTAAAGTGAACAAAGACTACACTCACAAGAATCCAGAATGGAATAAAGATTCCAACCACCGGGAGCAGGAACAAATAAAATCAAATGTATTGATATAAACCTTAGTCAGTTAAATAACATGCTGCTGTTATTCTGCACATCTCTGATGCTGCTGCTATTTTCAAATATCCATCACTGTAAAAATGTCCATAGCTGCATATTGGTTATTTATTCTCCAGTTTTATATTGTTAAAACACTTTACAGATTTGTATTGTTTATATTTTAACTCTTCCCTATTATGTTATTCTTATACATTTTTCTAAGGTCCACATTTGTGTGACCATTTTCAATAATCTTTTTGCTGCTGTAAATTTGCCCATTGTGGGACAATAAAGGGATTTTCTATTCTATTCTATAAAAGGGTTAGAAATATATAAGTAAATCTAAACAATGTATCTACAAAATATATCTGCAAAATCTCTAATATTCAACAACAAAAAATACTTAGTTAAGCATATTGTGCAAAACAACAATAAAAAATTTTAAATCCTATCAGATTTATAGTCCCCACCCTGCAGATATATTAGAATCTGTCCTTAAATTACAGCCAAACCCATTTACACAGTAACAGATAAAAACCTTTAGATAAACCAAACATTACCGCCACATATCTGACTCTATAACCATTAAAACAACTATTTTCATTAATTTCAGACAGAACTATTCACAGAGTTGTATTATTATATTAAACTGAACTTCAAATTTTCACAACTGTTCTGCGCCAAGTAACATTTCCTCTGATCACGGAGCAAATCCCCCCCCCCCCCCACGCGCTCCAAGGTGTCCTGGTTTTCCCAAATGAAAATATGGTCACCCTAGAGTTGCTGACTTTTAAGAAACAGAAACAGCAGGTCTAGCTCTACAGAAGCCAGTGACTCTTTCCCAGCATAAGCTTAAGAATGCACATTGGATTCACTCTAACACAACAGTCCAAGGTCAGTTAACACCCTTTATGATAGGAAGTTCATTAACGGTACAGGGGAATTCCTCTTGATTCGGAGGAAAGCAGATTACAGTATGGGGGTAGTGAAACTAGAAAAGTTTATCAGTTCTTAAGAATACAAATGTGACAACTGTGAGAGTATAAAGGGTGAAGATGGTGGCTGTCCACAGTCAGGCAGGAACACTCACAGAGAAAGGAGATCCTGAAGAGGAGATAGCCACAACCAAACCTAATTTTTCTAATTATTACAATTTAAGACAAACATGAATCCTTCATTTCAATGCATACTTCTTCTGGCCTGCATCACCATCACCATCTGCAACTCAAGTAAGTATATCATAAAAATATTTTTTTCTGTTGAATATTTGGATTAAAAATCTGTGTAAAATGTTTTCTAAATGGGGCATAAACTGTTCTTAATTTATGCATAATTTTTTTTCCCAAAGTACCTATGACAAGATGCAGATGTCCAAACCCGAAACAAATACCCAAAGCAATAAACCGCACTCTAATTGCTGATGTCATACAGTATAAACCTCGTCCATACTGCAACAGATATGAAGTAATGTAAGTACCTGCAACAACAACTGACCCAAAAATTTCAGAATTAACACTGATGATTACATTATTATTATTTTATTACAGTGTCACCCTGAAAAATAAAACAAAGACATGTCTTGATCCTAAGTCAAAGTTCACCATTGCACTCCTGCAAGCAAAAGAACGGTAAGTGAAAAAAAAAGTTTTGTACAGCTATTTTTTATAGTCTTACATTGAAGAATACACAGATATTAGCTCTAGCTGCAGTATTTGTAATACATTGAACAGTTAGCAGTCCCATCATTGCATCTAAAGAAGTAAAAAAAAAAAAAATGTCATGCTACCAACAAGAACAAGAACCTAAAGAAATTATTAAATATATTTTATGGGACGATAACTGCTTTATTGATGTCAGTGTCTTACCTTATTACATAGTACATATATTAGTGTTAAAGCTGAAAACTCATGGGATACAAAATGTTAACCCATGGTCCTTTTTCTTGACAGGATGGAGGCAAATCGCAAAAAACACTCAATGAAAATAACTGCAGCAACTCCCACCTCAGGAGCAACATCCTCATATTCTACCAAGAAGAGGCATTAAGGCTGCAGTATATAGTTTTTAGTGTTTTTTGTCTGTACTTTTATAAAACATTGCAGTTTTTTTGCTATAAGCAAAATATTTATTTGAGGCAATGACAGATAAGAGAATCTGCTCAGACAAAATCACAAGTTTATCTGCAAACTGTGTCTTTTAAAACAACTGTGGATTTGTATGTTGTTTTTTTTAACCCATACAAGTTGATAAATGCTGTTTAAACACTTGGTTCACATATCATTCTGTTTGTATATTTTTGAAAGATGTAAATATAATTGTCCTGCCATTGTTTAATCATATTTAAGTATTTACATATCTGGGGAAAAATAACAACAGTTCAGGTTAGGTTCAAGGGTTCCTGTGTTTAACTGAGCTGTATTTTAATACTTGCTGTCAAAACTTAAGTTCATTTTTGTTATGGCCTGTTGATATATAAAAAAATAATAATAATAAAAACCATCAAAATAATTTGTTTTACCAGACATTTACTTTCTTTGTGTTTCGACTAAGTGCTACACAAGTTGTTGTTTACCACATACCAAAACAGACAGCTTTTCAAGATGATGCCGTTAGTTATAAAACCCAGAAAGTTAGGTATAAGGAAATAATCATCCAGAACTTAAGAAAAATTTTCCTTTATTACGCTAGTGCAGTAAAGCATCTGTTCTCAACATTTTTTTCCTTTTTTGGGTTAGAGTTGACAGCCCTGAGTGCAGTAGAAGTACCAAGAGCTTGCCAAGGGGAACCTTATGGCAACAACCATAATGGTCTGCGGTTGGTCTATCATATAGCTCTGGGACATTGACATTGAGCTACAGTATATTGGCAAAACATTAAACACACTCAAAAAAGAAACTAAATTAGGTCCATCCCCATGGTGTCTATGCTGCAGGATTTCCGAAACAAAAATGATTTTCTTACCTGTTTTTTTTATTCTTTTATATCAAGTTACAGTTTTACAAGAAAGGTGTCTCAAGTATCCTGTAAATGGAAGATAACAGCAGGTTGTAGGGCAAATGTTTAGGAGTGGAGACCATTACTCTTAAGATTACTGTTGAGGATCAAATGTCAACGATGACGACTTATCCTGACATCACATCCCTACCACATACTTAAGGAGACGGCTCAATTCGAACTGGCTCTGTCCTTTAGCTTTTGGGCTTCAAATGGTAGACACAAGCATTTTTTTTTTAGCTGAAGCAAAACCCCTCTGGAGAAGAGTCTGTATTCACTCAGACTGCACCTGCCTATGATTCAGAGGAGATGAATATAGTGTCTTGTTTTCCATGCATTTTAAGCGAGATTGAACATATTGTTTTGGTAAACCTGCCTGCTTAACCAGAGGAGAATCTATCCAGTTCTGGATGACCTCGAGAACAGCTGGGCCCAAATAACAGTCAACATAGGAGCAGCCATAAGCCACCCTGCCAAAACACATTGGTTTTGAGCAGCAGCATTGAACGGTGAAAGCACGGGAACGTGACCCATTGGTCCAGCTGCAATTTGGAGCTGTGCTGCTGCAATCTCAGCTGCTGCTAAAAGCTACCCACTGCCTTAAGGGGAAACCCTCTTCTAAGGCTACTGTGAGTTACAAAATTAAGCCCTGCAAAGTTTCCTTCTGTTGTTTTCAATAGAATATCTCAAATATCTTCTAGCAATACTCTTTTGATGAGCTGACTGTGTTTCCTTGGAAGGAAACCAAGGGAAATGAATCACACTCCAGAGTGGAACCAAAACCCCTGTTTCCTCCATATCACTGAGGCAAAATTTCAACATTATTTCCCCTCTTTCATCTGATGCTTAACAAATACTCTGCTTGGGTGAAAGATAGGTAGAATAGATCATCTATACATCATGAGCTCAAAGCTACCTAATTTCCGGCCCTATGGTAGCAGCCATGCTGTGAGTCTCCTAACCCTTCTGTTCTAGCTGACCCCGAGCTAATAAAGGTACCATTTTATTTAGTAAAAGATTTATCACTCAGGTCAGATCCACCCTCTTTTGAGTAACATTTGAATGAACAGGAATCACATTTCTTTGGTTGGTGATCAATAACTTTGCTGATAGCCATAGTCTAAATTATTAAATTTGTGAAGGCAATGGGATTTTAACAGGAAATCCAGCAGTCCAACCTTTATGTAAAAGACTAAGAACCTTGGTGAGTAAGAAAATTACAGTTATAATCATATAACTTATAATCAATAATTGGTTTTACCCTTGAGTATAACAGCCTATTAATTAGCTAGTTATTCAATATATTCATAATCATCTGGTAAGTTTGCACAACATTACCCACAAAACATGGTTCTTATTGTGGTTTTACATTATCGGAAAAAGACTAAGGAGAAACGTCATACAAAAGAGCCAAAGCTGAAGAATAAATTCAATACATTTTTTTGTTCTTTGGAAAACAAACTTTAAAATATTTGTTGTGAAAGATTTATGTCCAGATCATTGCTCTATGCCCTCTGCAGTCAGATTGTTGATAAGTGTGTTCACAGGGAGTGGCTTTATGTGCTTTGTCTTTTAAAGCATACAATGATTGATATTTCCCACATTAAACACAAGTGCTTGGTAGTGGTCCATCTACAACAGATTGAGTACTAAAACATTATCATTATATTTCTGTTTTAAAAATTATACATTATGGAAACCTTCAAATTTGGGATTAATATAGCAAGTGAATTAAATGCATGTTTTCTTTGTACAGAGACAGTAAGATTTGAAGTTGCTTCATCAGCTTTAAATATGAGGTATCTCTTTTGGAGTTTTAACAACTCACCCATATACTAATATATCAGATATCTGTAAGTTCATGGTGTATCTCCATCCATTCCCATGCAGAGCTGCAGAATTTGCTGCTTTTCCAAATCTGCAGTTTTACACTCATGGGAAACAGTGGTTACCATAAGGCCAGATAAAATAACCAAGAAACTCTTTGCTCTACTCCAACTATCACAAAAATGAGAACGGGAACTATTTGGCTGTTTCCCAGCTGTGACACAATGCAACACATTCCCACAGACAGCTGGCTTAACATAGGTTCATGTAGTTTAAAATGAAAGTTTTAGGTCTCATTTTTTTAAATTAAATTATGAGTGATCAGCTGGAAGGGCAGCAGCATCACTGAGGCAGAGTGACGTAAGTCAACCATTAAAGTTAAACAGAATTCAGCTCGGTTTAGCTACAAAATCCGACAGAAAATTTAATTTAGGATTTTAAATTTTAACGATGAACCAGAAATCATATTAATTTGCTGATACAATGCAGACTAAGACAACTTTTGTTGTCATTTTGTATACACAGTGTATACAAAACGAAATTTGTTAGCACAGCTTTCCAGACAGTAAATGAATGACTACCATACCATGAAGATCTGTCATCGTGCAGCAATAAGGAGGAGATGGAGCCGAGATAGGGGGCAGAATTGTGTGTGTCTTATCTGTAAACCGCTTTATTTTTAAGTTAAAAAAAAAGATTTAAAGATTAAATACCGATCAGAGGTTGTGGGGTAGTGTGGAAAATGCCTGCGTATGGCAATCAACTATGATAGAAAACAACAACACATGCTCAAACTATTTGAGATTTCAGTTTCAGTACAAGCCATTAATCATACATCACATACATTGTGGGGGGCTGGTCAGGGGAACGACTGACTGAAGCCAGGCGTGCCAAAGAACGCTGTTGTTAGGCGCATCCTTTTGGCAGCCAGGGGCCCCGTCATGAGGCGGTTCCTTAGGATGCTGCCTTTTATCTCTGTGGAAAGATATGAGCCACATTGGGGAGGTAGAGGGGGAAAAAAGCATATTTGACACATTATCCTTGACAGTGTACAGTTTGATAGATTTGAGTTCAATCTAAAAAACTAACATAGAGAAAAGAGACAATAAGAAGAAATTTATTGACACAATCACTTTATCTTTGGCGCTCAGACCTCGGCAGGAGACATAGCACTTAATTTTGATAGATATGTATGAACAGGAGCAAAAAACTGGTAGTGGAGTGGAGTTAGATGAAGTTGGTCAGTCTGTAGACTGCTGGTTAGCGAGACGGTATGCTGGGCTTTATGGGGATATCCAGTGGATTGTGTGAGCTAATACTAGAGCTTCACTCAGGGACCTGGAAGGTGGAAGTCCAGTTTGATCACACAGGTTGAGAGAACCAGTTCATGATGAGCAAGCATGAAGCGACAGTGGAGAGGAAAAACTCCCGGTCGGGAAGAAACTTCTGGCAGAACCAGGCTCAACATGGCCGTCTTCTGCCAGACCGGTTGAAATGAGACGCGGAATGCATTAAGAGTCCGGAAGGAGTGACACTCTAATGAAGCTTAAGCTACGATGGTGGGGGAGGGGCTGGAGGTGGGTGGAAAAGGGGTCATCTGAATGAAGTCAGACAGGGCAACCACCGCCTGCGCACAGGAGCACAAGTTGCGGATCGGAGGCCTTTTAAAAATAACTTTGGATGCTGATTTGCTGTTTAGGAGGTGTGGTTGAAAGCTAATTGGCTGTGTCGCAGTTGGATGTAGGATGGCAAGCAGTTTCTTCAGTTGAACTTCCGCCTAGGCTCCATATATTGAAAAACACCTCAGCACCAGAAAAGCACACATAACACGGGACAAACATTTCAGCAGTGGGAAGCCTTTGAAGGATAAATCTGAGCATCAGCTGTGTGTGTGTGTGTGTGTGTGTGTGTGTGTGTGTGTGTGCGTTCAACTTGTCCATGAACGCTGTCAAGAGGCCATTGTTCTTTATACAATGGAAGTTTATCAACTGGCACTAACCACAGGTGCCCACAGTAGTGATGGGTCGGGCAACACCGATGCGTCGGCGCATGTGTCGGTCTCATAGAGCGAAACCTGTGTCGACGTGTCGCTACGGAAAAGTCACGTGACCGAAACAGTTCCTGTATCGGTCACGTGACCGATGTTTCGAACTGATTGACAAGCTTTAATAAGGAAGCGCATCTGCCAACGAGATGCATCTGCCAAAACAATCTTGCGTGTTTTGCGAATATAAAATTCATCAAAAATTATGGAGATTTTTCAAGCAAAAAGAAAGGTTTCTGCTGTGTGGGACCACTTTGATGTCATTTCGGAAATAAGGTATTTGTTTTAATTTCCTTGTTTCATCCTGTACCTCTCAGAGTTTCCACTTGATTTTCTGAGTAGAAATTCATTATAAAGTGACCTTTAGTTTACTGTTCGTGTTATTTTCTGCAGGTTAAATGTCGCAATTGCTCAACAGAGCTTGCATATTTAAATAACAGCACCTCCTCAATGCTGAGGCATTATAGGGCCAAGCATGAGAGTGAAATCCATGATACACCCATGATGAACTCAGTTATACAGGTATTTTACAACTTACTGACTTTGTTTTATTGATAATTCTGAATAATTTACACTTTCTCATTTTTAACCATCA